ACACCCAGGGCTGCAATTTTACACTGTATTTTTTTGGTTCAATTTTCCAAGAGGGTTGTTTTGGCATCCACTTCCCAGTAGGTGGTGCTGCTCCCTCCTAGAAGGAACCAGACAATTTCTTCAAATGTAACTACAAGAACTTGTGCCCATGTCTTTTGATGTCACATCCACCTCTTCTTTCTGCTGTTTTTCTTCTACAGCGAGGATGTAGATCATATTGTTGAACAGTTCGTGGCTATCCCTGCAATTAACTGGCTATATGTTGTGACAGTGTACAGTGGGAGTGAACACATGCAGCCAAACATCTCTCACAGTTGATTGCACTGTTCCTTTCAAATTTAAAATCCTTTCAAACCCTGACTTTACACCAAAATATCTCCTTCTGGTTGCTTTGGCTGCAATACTCAGCATGTATATCAGGGTGATGGGACTTATTTCTCTGTAAGCATTCTTAAGGTTTTAAAGGCTAATGCAGACCTTTGTTATGTCAAAATTATATTCCTTATGTAATGCGAAATTCATTAAATAAATAAGAATGGGGGACTATGGGATCTGTAGTAGGAAATGCCACAATGTATTCCTAAGATGACAAAAGTACACTGCATGTGACCCCTCCTTTTGGTCAGTGCAATTTGAATGGGGGATTGTGGGATTCATAGCACACCGAGAGAACCTTCACATAGCATAATGTCAACTTTTGCCGAAGCACTGTATGGACAATAGTGAGCCCTCCCCCTTTCCTTCAACAACTCAGCTGCACCTATGCAGAAAATGGGCAGAAAAATGATGTGATATCCAGCAGCATTTTTATAGCAGTGCCCTGAGGTAAGTAAAACTTCTCAGAGCTCATGCTCTGATTCCCTTCTATCCACATCTCTGTTTATCAAACCCTTCCTGCCAGGATTTCTTGCTGAAGTAAAGCATGACTTATAGCTGCTCATTTCTTTGTCCTCACTGGATGTTGTTCAGGTCTGCCAGTTTTGCTGAATATGTTATCAGGAATATTTTTGGAGCCCATTAGCAAAACAAAGAAGGGTCTAGAGAGGTAGGGCTTTCTGAGAACAAACAGCTATAATAAAAATCCCCCCAGGAGACTAAGGCAGTGGTATTTTGAAGGAAACAGGTCAAAAGGGTTTAGTGCTTACTGAGAGAGAATGGTCAAATCAGGGTGAGACATTTCTATGAAGGAGGAGGGCACTAATGGGTTCTATTCTTAGCTGTATGACAAAGTACTGGATAGTTCTTAGTGTGCACGGTTTGTAAAGTGTACAGTACTCTGCAGATCCTACTTACATTGCCGCAAATGTAATAGTAAAAGGAAGATGCAGTTGTATCTGCCCAAGTTCAAGAACTGTAACATCAAGATACCTAGTCCCATTCTGGAATCTGTGACAGAAACTTGTTGGGGTGCATCATCTTTATTTTCAATTGTGCCGTCACTATTTCAACATAAACCTGTCTCTTTGCACTGATAACATTGACATGCTTGTGCAGTTGTGAAGAAGCAGTTCATGTGGTAGCTCCATCAATGACCTAGCTGTGCAATGAAAATGGTGGAATCCTTGTTCTGTTTTTGTTTTTCTCCCCAGGAAAGAAGGCTGTTTGAGGAAGGAGGAAGGCTGATGGTAATGGTAGGCAATGGTAGGCCTGGACATGCCTGAAGAGCAGAGGAGAGTCGTTCTTTTGACTTGGTGCTCTAGCTTTTCAAGGTCAAAATATTAGCCGGGGGGGAATTATGGAATTTAATTTTTCAATACAAATCCTATACTTATTTATTAGTTTTCTGTACACAGGCAAACACACAGAGTTATCATGGTGTACACTATGCAGGCATTATACTACATTACTGCTTTGATGCTTTTTACCACTTCTCACCCTGAAAGTTCTCTGTACACTCATTACGTATCACCCCCTAAAATGAGTAGCAAATAACTACTGGTACAGTATTATGTTTTGCAGGGCAAATCCAACTCATGTTGCTACCTAAGACAAAGAAGAATATGAGGCTCACTCTCAGTCCTTGTTCATAAGTTGAGTGGATCAGCAACTGTAATTTACTACAACATTATTGATAAGATAGTGGATTTGACAGCATCAACTGAGTGGTAACCAACCTCATGTGTTCTTGGACTGCAACTCCATAAAACCCCAGATCTCACAGCTGGTGGTGAAGTGTTCTGGGACTTGCAATTCAAGAACACCTGGAGTTACAAAGGTTGGCAATCACTGAACAAAGGAGCTGCAGTGCCCACTGTGTGGCACAGATTCGTTTTCAAAAACTTTGCCGCTCCCTCCCAGCACCTTCTGCCTTTCTGTTCTCTCTGTTTCACAAAAAGTAAGCATCTGTGGTTTAATTTTATCATTGCGAAAACTGGCATGTAACTGAATGAGCTACTTTTGCCTTCTTATCAGTTATTTGTTGTATCAAAAAGATTGTGCTGTTTTGTAACCAATATCCTCAATTGTAATTTTTCAATAATACTTTCACTTTTGATGCACCTCCATGAGGCACTTTTAGAAAGAACTTTTCAATTTTAGGCAACACCTCTGCACCCTGTAAATTCAATTATTTTCTCAACACACCAAAAGATAACACAAAATTCTGCTTACAAATATCTAAGTATATTAAAAAGAGATAGGACTAAAACTGAATAAATATCATTAAATCATATAAGCAGTCACAATGTCTTTCCAGGAAAACCAGGTAATTACATTCATAATAATTACAATACAGTGAGAGATTCTAACCTGGATGTTGTACAGAAAGCCATTGACTGTCCTTCCTTTCTTTCAGGTTGGAATCTAGCCCCAAAAGGCACAGTAACGATGAAGACCTTCCAGCCTTCTTTAATGCAGACTCAGTTGCAAGAAAATAATCATTCATCTAGGATTTGATTCTGAATGAAAGCACCAGCTTAGGTTGTAAGAGACCTGGCTGAGAGAAGGGAGAAGCCTGTCTTGCCCAGTAATGTCCACCAGGCTATCCGTATGAAACCACTGGGAGTGATCATTCAGAACCTTAGAGTGAGGTGCCACAAATATGCTGATGACACCCACTTCTACTGCTCCTTGTTACTCAATGTCAAGGCAACAGTCAATGTCTTTTGATATTCTCTGAGCTTGATAATATACAAACCTTTCTTCAGACCCATTTGCATTTTACTAATTTTTAAATATTTTAAGTATTGTTACATTTGTATTCTTCCATTTTGATGAGCACAAAAATGTCTCTCCCCAACCTTGTTATTCTGACAACAATCTCATAAAGTGAGATATACAAAACGCTAGTGAGTGGGTCAAGATCACTTAGTGACCTTCATGAATGTGTAGCGATCTGAACCCAAGTCTCTTTCATCCAATTCTAAAATTGCTGAAGAGTGGCCACAGAGTGAAAGGTCAACAATATTCTATATCTGCAGCTTTTATCAGTTAATGTCTGTACTGCAGCCCCAAAATCCTCTAGCCACTGGCCCATACTGGCTGGAAGATTCTGGACCTTCCAGTCAAGAACAGTTATCTATTCAAGTCCTACCAACAGCCTACTGGAGGGCCTCCCAGAGAACATTAGCTCCTTAATCTTTATTCAATATTTCCATTTCCTGACACACCACTGGTTCTGTTACTCCCTCATATTCTTCTGCAATCTCTAAGGCCTCTTGTCTATCAACAAATGTGAACAAAGAGACTCACTTGATCCATTGCATCCTTTCTTCCTTTTGAAGTAATAGTGGCTAAAAAATCCTCCCTGTAACTCCTTCTCTTCATCTCCCTTACTCTCAGTTCCAAGCTTTCTCTCCTTTCTCTCTCAACTCTTTATTGCTCCTCTCCCAATCTCCTTCTCCACTCTCTCGCCTCAGCTTCTCCCCAATAAGAGGGTCTAGGTGGAATCTCTGGTCTCCTTCTATAATCTGCTTCCTCCTTGGGCAATCTTAATCTTTCCCATAATCCCATCCAGGGATCCTGCATCCACACCCATTCCCAACCGGGTGGTAACTTGTCTTTCCTCTCTACCTCCCCTGTTCTTGCTTCAAACTCCACCCTCTTTTTCCACTCTCTTCCCGCCTTTTCTCCCTGAACCTCCCCCATAATCACTTTCTGCATGTCTTCCATCAGCTCCTCTGTATGTCTCTTGTTGAGGTCTCGCGGTAGGCTAAGGTCCACTTCCTTAGCTTTGCTGTTGTGGAGGGATGGCTCTCCAGCGAATGGGGTGTCCCTTTCCCCCACTGTCTCCCATTCAACTACCTGTCATCTTTATATTTACTAGATGCTGTGACGATCGCCCCACATCACTCATGCCATTCATAGTCATGAGCTGATTTGCATAAGTCTATGAGAGGGCTAGAGAGGCAGAGTCAGCAGCTACAGGGGAAAAGGAGGAGTCAGAGATTGGGATGAGATACAGATAGAGATAAGGGTTGGTTAATTAGAGAGAGAGGGAACAGATACAGAGTGATAAGGCTGGTTAAGAAAAAAGGTAGAGAAGGTGGTAATGATATTCCAAGAGAAAAGTATGTACAGAGAGAACTGTTAATGATTTGCTTGTGTACAATGTTTATCTGAAGAACTTCTGTTATTATTAAGTCTGCTTCACTTCAATAAATAAGTTCTGTCTGTATTCATAAGACAAGTGTCTGACCGCCTAGAGTAGTCCACCACGACTAGATCAAGACAAGTGTCTGACAAACGTCATTTATATTGTGGATTCGGTAATTCACTGGTGGCAGCAAGAGGAAAACGCAACATGAGCCTTTGTGAGTGCCACAAGGGTGAATGCCACAGATGCACATTCCCCTTGTGTAATAAAAGGGGAATTGTGTAATTAAAAGCATCCTTTTTAAAAAAAAGGTCACATGTATCAGCAGAGCACTTCACAGGGAGATGGGGATATATGCCTGTGGGCACAATGCCACTCCCAGGCATTGTGTGTCTTCCCTTAAACTAATCTGCTATTACAAAAACTATAGCTGAGTGGGGGAAGTCAGACAAGAAATAAATGTCTGTTAGTAAGTTGTCTTTATTTGTAACTCAGAATAACCACCGCTTGTAATAAAAGTTCATATGTGCTGGCTTCCATTTTTCTTTCTTTCTTAGATAAGGATAGTATAAGTCACTATAATAGGAAAAACAAACAGAAAAGGCATATAAAAGATTGATTCATTCTATATCAGTCCCATTTCAGACTTCAAGGATCTGATATCGTCTGCTAGAAAAAATATGGGCAAGGGTATTTTTTGTGAGCATACAGTGTCTATACACATACTAGAAACCGTTCATAGAAACATAAGACATTTAAGCATTCAAAGATCCAATGGTGAATTCTACTTGGGTTCAAAATAGTGCATCAAGCTCGAGACACTTCTTCACGGTTGGATAACCATAACTCTAACTGACTAGATTGACCCAGTTGGGGGGGGGGGAACACCTTAAAAGTTCTGTGCCACCAGCTGCTAGGGTAATTTTTTTTTTATAACTCTGACTAGATTGACCCAGTGGGGGGGGGCACCTTAAAAGTTCTATGCCACCAGCTGCTAGGGTAATTTTTTTTTTCACAAGCCAGTGTAACATTGGTGAACTGATGAAGTGAAGGCTGATTCTCAGCATATGTAAATAGGCAGTTCATGTCTCACTACTAATAATTATTATTCAAGTCATATGGCACCTTCAAACTTGAGACATCACAAGCAGGATATGTATGTCTGTGCTATTGATCCATTCTGGGCTGAGCCCTGCAATGAACTCAGAGAAACAAATCCTTATTCCTCAAATCAGGCTGGGTCCAGATACAACTATACCAATTTGTGGGGTTGTTCTTGTGGCCAGATTTCTCATTTGGGCAACAACTCTCTGCAATGTGTGACCAGAGGAAGTTGAAAAGCAACCTTTGCAGCACCATATCAAGCCTCTGCGACACTACATAAGAACTATGCCACTTATCTGCTACAGAGTCAAGGACACAAAGGCTATCCTGCCCCAAGATTCTCTTGGATCAGCACTTATGCCTGTTATCTATGCACAGCAAGCCATGTGCCCGCAGCTACCTTCATGGTGGAGGGCCAGAAGAAAAATGGGAAGGGATAGGAATCGCTTCCTCTTCTATCGCTTCTCTTCAGCCGTGGCTGTTTTGCAAAGCAATTCACACGTACAAGCAGCCACCATCATGACACCTACGTTCACCAACACCCATTCTCCCTTCCAGAGGAAAAAGATGAGGGGGATGGTGGGCAAGAGGAGCTCTAATCTCTCACATCACCCCACAGAGCTCATCTCAAGAAGCAACATATCTCTAGTAGTCTGATGTTACATAGAATGTAGGACTTGTTATTCTCTGAAGTATTTTTGCTATGATGGAATTTGTTATAAGCAATTGTTTGTAAGCAATTACAAGCACTACTTAAGACGGGAAAGGCAGAATAAAAAGAAAAAATAAAGAAGTCAATGCATGAAGTTAGAATTTCAGACTTCTCCAAGGCCTTTTCAGACATTGCACTGGAATAATAAAGGATAATATTAGAAAAATCCCACTAAAGAAATGTGGTTCATAAGGTGCTTAGTATAATCTTCAACCTGCAATTGTGAGAGCTGGAGATTCTGAACATGAGAGGCCTTCTGCATTTGCTAAGGCATAATGAATATCCCCATGCACAAATGCAAGAAAAAAACAACCACACTCACAACAGACCATTATCCACCTAGTAAAAACTAAAGGGACTGTGACTAGAATGTTTACAGAACTGCTCTTATCATAAGTAAATACTACAATTTGAAAATCTTCATTTTAGATTATATCTCCCAGGATCTTTGAGCCAGCAGGATCAGTGGCCAGGGTATTGAAGGTTTCTGGAATTTATTGTAATTCAAAAAGTTGCTTTCTCAAACTCTGGAAAATACTAATTTTTTACATTGTTAGCTAGGCCTCTTCCTAAGCATTTCAAAATGTGGACTTCATAAACCTGACAAGAAGTGTAGCATTGTAATCTTCAACATTGGGGAGGGGGGTGATGGAGGGAAATGTCCACAGTTGTTCTAGAAACTTTCTCTTGGTAATGCTGCAAGGCCTTCTTTCAGTAGCCAGCTTTAAATTTCCATTCTAGAATGAACTGCTAGTACCTTTCAGTGAATCTGCTACCTAAATTGGGCAATATGAGTTTTAACGTACTGCAAATGAGATGGCAATCAGATTGGCATATACTGTAGCTTGTTGTTTGGGTCGCTTTGGGTGTGGTTTGCTCCACATTATTTTCCAGTAAATATCTACCTCCTGAGAAATCTCTAGGTAGGACAGGAAGCAACAGTTAGAACTGGATATGGAACAACTGATTGGTTCAAAACTGGGAAAGGAGTATGACAAGGCTGTATATTGTCTCCCTGCTTATTTAATTTATACGCAGAATACATCATGTGAAAGGCTGGACTGGAGGAATCCCAAACCAGAATTAAGAGTGCTGGAAGAAATTTCAACAACTTCAGATATGCAGATGATACCACTCTGCTGGCAGAAAGTGAGGAGGAATTAAGGAATGTCTTAATGAGGATGAAAGAGGAGAGAACCAAAAATGGTCTGAAGCTCAACATCAAAAAAACTAAGATCATGGCCACTGGTCCCATCCCCTCCTGGCAAATAGAAGAGGAAGATATGGAGGCAGTAACAGATTTTACCTTCTAGGGCTCCATGATCACTGCAGATGGGGACAGCAGCCACGAAATTAAAAGACGCCTGCTTCTTGGGAGGAAAGCGATGACAAACCTAAACAGCATCTTAAAAAGCAGAGACATCACCTTGCCGACAAAGGTCCGCATAGTCAAAGCTATGTTTTTTCCAGTAGCGATGGATGGTAGTGAGAGCTGGACCATAAAGAAAGCTGACCACCACAGAATTGATGCTTTTGATCTGTGGTGCTAGAGGAGACTCTTGAGAGTCCCCGGACTGCAAGGAGAACAAACCTATCCGTTCTGAAGGAAATCAACCCTGAGTGTTCACTGAAAGGGCAGGTCCTGAAGCTGAAGCTCCAATACTTTGGCCATCTCATGAGAAGAGAAGACTCCCTGGAAAAGACCCTGATGTTGGGAAAGTGTGAAAGCAAGAGGAGAAGGGGACGACAGGACGAGATGGCTGGACAGTGTCATCGAAGCTACCAACATGAATCTGACCAAACTCCTGGCAGTGGAAGACAGGAGAGTCTTGCATGCTCTGGTCCATGGGGTCACGAAGAGTCAGACATGACTTAACGACTAAACAACAACAGTTTTCCAGCAACCACGTTTCCAGTAATATCGCTCCCTCCTGCCCCATTTGCAAGACGTGACGCTCCCCTCTGGAATGACGCTAGGGCTGCAGTTTATTTGTTGCCATTGAGAGCGCTCTCGATTGTCTCCTTCTGCACTCCCTGCAGTTAGCTCATCTGCTCCCAAATGGAGCTGTGGGCGGTGTTCTCCGTGGTGACAACCTGTAGTGTATTTAGTGGGTTGTGACTGATAGGGATGAAGGAGAAACCCCTTCCTCTATTTTTGTCTTCTCTAAGATTTTTTAAAAAACCATTTCCTCAACTCAATGCAATTCTAGATACACTGAAGGTACCCTTTGGTACTTGTTTTATATCTGATTCAGAGCTGACTGCATCAGGGAGGAAAATGTTAAAAGCAAGGGAGTCGCCATGGCTGGTGGTTGAGAAAAGGCAGGGAAGGGAAGGTTGGTGGGAAAGAAAGTGTCAGTAATTGAAAGGAGAAGAAATGGAAGTGCTGTCTGGATCTTTCTCATGGAAGAAGAAATGTCTCTCATGTGAATGGAACGATTACTCAAATGTGAGATAAATTAGGTTGCACCAAAGAGCTCTTTAAGCACAAACTGGATCACTGCACCTTTCCCTGGCTAGATGGACCTTCATTCCAAATCTTTCCAATTTCGTGGTGATACATCAGAGTAAGTCAGATAGTAGAGAACATTCTAATTACCTTAGGAGATGTTCTTTATTTCAGAACAAACAGCCTGGAGAAAAAGCTAAGATGCAGCAGAAGTGAAGTACAAGTGGCCAAACCATCAGCCCATTAAGTGCAATGTTTCCCGAGTTTGGGGATTTGGTTGCAGTAATGACAGTGGCACTTTCAGGGGTGGCAGCTGCTCTTCCATGACCCACTGGCATTTCTCTCTCCAGAACTGTGAGTTTGACTTGCCCTGGATCAACAACTATGTCTGGAGGATTCTTAACATCACAGAAATAGGTGCCATTATCTACAGGCTGGACATTTGCTATCTTGATTGATGCATCTCTCTGGCTAAAGTTTCCAACAAAGCTGCTTCGGTCTTTGAATGGTGTGTTCTTCCCAAGATATTCTTTTCCATCAGAATAATAGAAAAACTGTAATTACACAGACAGATACATTAATTCTGCATAAACATTTAATTATTCTTATTTTACATCATTAACTAGATATTTCCAAGATCTAGCTCTCTACAGATAATTTTTCACAGTACTGAAGACTTGAGTTTCTAGACCTTGGATTCTGTGCATAATGTGCAATAAATTCAGAGAAGATAAAGCAGCCAATCAACCACAACCCATTATTTTTTTACCCTTAAGAACGGTCACTCCTACTTACTGCCCAGTCTGATGCATGTTTATCCTGATGAAAGTCCCACACATTTAAATGGAGGATACTCTCAAGTAAGCACTATGTCCAAGACAAGAATCTAGGGTTTCAATTAGTAAATTCCACAAGAAATATGGTTCACTTGAAAAATCCTTGCAATCAGAACATAAACACAATATACATAAACACAAATATACATGAGCATTTCTGGGATCTAAGAGAACAGAGAGACCACATATCACAAAGGAAAGCAGTGTTACATGGCAGGAAACTGAGACAGACTTTAAAAGGAAAGAGAGGAAAGCCATTTGAGGAAAAACCTTAAGCCTACCTGTAAGGAGTACAGGGAGAAATGGCATCATTGTCAAAATGGGAGATGAGGAAAACCAGAAACAGATTCAAGAAGCACAGTAAGGTCATTACAGTTTTCAATCTTATGAATGTTTATGTGGGAATAAGCTCCACCTGAGGTTGTTCATGGACCAAGCAGGAGAGCACCTCATCCCCAAAGTCCAGGCATTAGCCTCTTGTAAGCCCCACTGAGTCTGCAAGCAGCCATGAATAAAACTTGGTTGTGAGCCTTACAGTGAGCTTAATAGAGCAACACGTTTATTTCATTGGAGTCACAAAGAAATCAAATAAAGGGGAAAGATCAGAAGTAAAATGTGTGCATTATTTGAAAACCACAGTTTGGGGTTTTTACTACATGCCAAGTGTTACAGTGGCCAAGATTCAGTGACACAATCCCAAGATCAACAGCAGTTACAAGAAGATGCCTTGTGTGAGTGGCAAAAATAAGGAGCATCACTGAAATGACCCACTTGTGCTACAAGCTCCTACTCAAATCTTGTCTCACCTCAATCATTGGCTCTTACCGTTATGGGACGAGCAGTTGATCCCTCCTGTTGAAAGCTCCAAGTGACGGATGTTGCAGCACTGATGTCCTCTGAGGATACGAATGTGCATGGAATCTTTACATCTGTCCCAGCTTCCACAATAATTTCCGTTGGAGTGGATACTTTCACAATTAAAACATCACTTACTGAAGAACAAAGTGCCATCTGGATCACTTTATAAGCAATAAAATTGAACAGTTATAAAAATGCAGAAGCTGACAAAGCTTTGCAGAAAGTAATGTGCTTGTAATGGGAACTTTGCATTTTGATGTCTAGGCCTGCAAGAGGGTTGGGGAACATGTGGCATGTGTCAATCACTCCCATGATCCACCATTATCTGTTTCCATTTAAAGTTCTGTACTCATTTTACGACAGTTTTAATAAGGCATGAAGTAATGTAAAATGGAATTCGTCCACATACTGTTTCCAGATAAACATGTCCATGATGTGGGACATGTATGGACAGCCACACGTCCCAAAAGCATTTTTAGGCTATCCTGAAGTCTTTTCACCCACTGACATTTTCTGCATTTCTGGCATTATACTATAAAGATGTTATAGAAAAAGGTGACTTAACTGCTCAAAGGGCTGGAATAATTTTATTAGGGGTAAGATGAGAGACATGGTGGCGCTGCGCGTTAAACCGCAGAAGCCTCTGTGCTGCAGGGTCAGAAGACCAGCAGTCGTAAGATTGAATCCACACAACGGAGTGAGCTCTCATCAGTTGTCCCAGTTCCTGCCAACCTAGCAGTTCAAAAGTATGTAAATACAAGTAGGTAAATAGGTACCACCATGGTGAGAAAGTAACGGCATTCCGTGTGTAGTCGTGCTGGCCACGGGGCCTTGGAAACTGTCTTTGGACAAACGCTGGCTCTATGGCTTGGTAACGGGGATGAGCACTGCGCCCCAAAGTCTGATATGACCGGACTAAATGTCAAGGGGAACCTTTATCTTTATCTAAGATCTGAATGCTTTGGAGTGGTGGCTTGGCAAAGGCAGGTAATGATAAATTATGCCTGATACGAAGAAAAAAGATAGGGACAATTGTTCTTCCTTCTCAGAAACTAGAACCTGGGGTCATCTGACAAAGTTGAATTGTGGAATATTCAAGGTAGATAAAAAGAAGTATCTCACATAGCACATAGCTAAACTATAGAATTCTATACCAAAGTGATAAAATGGATACATGAAAAAGAGAACAGGGCTCCTATACCTGGAACAGGCATGTGAAAGATGGCATTTCAACAAACTACCTCCGTTGAAATGTGTGCTTCTAGGTAACTATTAATGATGCAGCAACCCTGTCCTCCTTTTGACAGCTCTGAAAGCTGATGAGAAAAATTCATTGAAACTAAAATTACGGCTAGCTACCACTCACTATGGCCCATATTACATCCAGTACAACAGATTATATACCAGTAAACGCTGCTGGGAAGCACAAGTCAGGGGGCCATGGTTCTACTTATGGGCTTCTCATAGGAATCTTGTTGGCCACTGTGGGAACAGGATGCCAAATTAGATGCTCCTTTAATCTGATCCAGCACAGCTTTTCTTATGATCTTACCTAAAAGGATACTGTACAACAGCACAGGATTTATATGGACACATCAGTGTGTACAGATACTTAATACAATTTTAGTTTTGTACAGGTGCTCAGTGCTGAGGTTCTCCATGGTACATCAAGCTGGGGTACTTGAGTCAGTATCCAACTGAGCTTTCCCTGAATGGAAAGTCCCTAACAATGAAGCAACTTGGGATCATGCTGCTTGGGTAGGCATTACTGTTGCAAGAGCAGAGAGTATTGTTTCTTCATGGAGTTCACTTCTTGCAAAAGTTAACACTTGCAGAAGCAGCACAATACCCCATTATAGTGCTGGCAAGAATTTCCACTCACTGGGAAATCAGTAAGGTACAGGCCATTATAATCGTGCAGTGTTTATTAAACCTGTTGTTATCAGTTCACTCAATCAAAAGCCAAAAGATCACTGAAAGAAATTGGATAATTCAGGAATGAGCCTGGAGATGATTCGTACTAGATAAGTTTAGGTATATACTTTTATAGAAACAATAACGTTTGCTCTTTCTTCATATTTGAACAAAAAAGGGGGGTTATTGTGAAAACTATCTACTTTGAATGCCCACCCATCTACTGAGGCCTTTCCTGTTCCACATTTGGCTAGCCTATTTCCAGTTCCTGGTTTCCTCTCAAGAATTAGGATGCAACATAGCTTTATGCCAAAATAAGGCACAGGATTACTCATGCCAATTCATGCACACGGGCAAGGACTTCCTCAGAAAACTTGTTTTTACACGGAAAACACTGAATTGACAATTTTTGTGAAGCATAAATGTAGGATACAATCCACAAAGCCTTATGCCAGATAAAACTTGTTACTTTTCAAGATACCATAGGACTTGTTTTGCTGACACAGACCAACATGTTTACCTCCTTGAAAAAAAATCGAGAACAAAATCTGTCAGGGCCCCAGACAAGACAGAAGGGCTTCTGTTTGTAGTGATCATTAAAGCAGGTGGTAGGGTCTGAGAACTGTTTCCAAAGCAAAATTTACTCAAGAGGAAGTCTTTTTATACAATGGTCATAGCAACCCAGTGTAGGATTGTGGCCTTCCTTCTCCCACTACATGTAGGTTGGGCGTACTGTCGAAGATCTGTTATGACAGCCCCCAGAATTATTATTTTATCTCCTCCACTTTTTTCCTCCACCATCTATTCGGGCGTCCCACAATCCAGTGACCCACCGAATCAACCCCTAACACCAGCTTCAGCTTTGCCGTCGTCCAACTCCCTAGGAACAGGGGGCGTGGCCAAGCAAAGAGTTAGCCCACCCACAGGGAGTCCTGCCCCGCCCCACCCCGCCCCCTCCCTTTGCATTCGCAGCCCTGAAGGTAGCATAGGAACGAGCCCTCACAGTGGACGAAAGCACCGGCGGTGAGCAGCCATCTTGCGGGCGCGCGAGTTGAAGAAATCTCGCGCTTCATAGGGCTGCCCCCCGCTGCGGCCGCCGCTGCCGCCGCCGCTGCCGGTTCAGCAACCATATCTCTCTCTCTCTGTCTTTCTCCCTCTGCCTCCGCCCACTTCTCCCCCTCGCATTGTTACGCCCTCGCCCACCTCCTGCCCATTGTTGCGGAGGGGTGATGGGGTGAATAGGCTAAGCAGGATTCCCACGCTGGCAGGAGCACAGTGCAGCCGAGGCATGGCAGCACTTGGGAGACGAAATGGCTTCGAAATCTGGATTATTATTATTATTATTTTTAAATCTTCTGACACATCAACAGCAGAAAGCATTGTTTCATTTCATCTAGGTCACCCGCTTTTCGCTCAAGGATGCTCAAAGCGCTAAAAGTATTGTACAAACAAATTTAACATTACATAAACTTCAATAAAGCAAAACAACACGGATTCATGTATTTATTTAAAACATCTCTGCACTGCTCTTCCAAGCAGAGCCTACATAAAAGTTAAGAGTACTGTACTGGATTTTGAAAAAGTTACACTTCAGTCCATGTTTACTTGCAAGTAAAACGAAGTAATAGAACTTCCTTCTAAGAGCCGGCTGCACTTCGGATACAGAATAAGGGGAAAAGGCACACCAACACTGGAAATGGTACTGAAGGAAAGCAGGCAAAGGCTAATTGGGAAAATAGTGTGCCTGGTGTGAATCTTCCCCCTCCCCTGTTGATTATCTTTAGCAAACCTTGATAATACTGTAATTGTGATTGCACCCACCAATCCATTTCGATGCCTTGATCTACTACAGTATCTCTTGATGAGTTTTGATAGAACCATCAAGATTTAAAACCTCACTATATCTTACTATTTTCTTGTTGAAGTGATAGATAAAATCCTTGAAACCGCAGAAATGGACATACTATCAGATTGGCTGGATGCAAAAAAGAAAAAAGACCCTTGGAAAATTTGGTCACAATTATATACATGGTTACAAGATAGATAGAAAAGTTGACTGATATATAGTTATCTGAATGGCTGCAGAAGAGAGAGAATAAATGATGGATAAAGACTATCAGCTACATAATCAATAATTAGAATAACAATATATCTGTCTGAAATTGAAACAACTTTTAAGTGAAGGGAGAAAGTGTCAAAGCAGGATGGCAGTTGAACATGAAGAAGACAAAAAATCACGACTACAGAAGAACTATATAACTTTAGCATTGACAATGAAGAAATGGAAATAGTTAGAGATTTTGTATACTTTGGTTCAGTAATCAATCCAAATAGAGACTGCAGCCAAGAAATCAGAAGACAGACTAGGAAGGGCAGCAACGAAGGAATTAGAAAGGATCATCCACACTCTTTTATTTCCAGTCACCATGTATGGGTGTGAAAACTGGATAGTTAAAAAAGCTGACAGGAATAAAAATGATTTGTTTGAAATGTGATGCTGGAAGAAAGTTTTGAGAACGCCCTGGGCTGCCAGAAAGATGAACAAATGTGTGGGCCTTAGATCGAATCAAGCCTGAACTATCTCTGGAGGCAAAAATGCTAAAACTGAGGCTGCCTAATTTTGGGCACATCATGAGAAGCCAGGACTCTCTGGAAAAGGCAATCATGCTGGGAAAGGTGGAAAACAACACGAAAAGAGGAAGACCAAATATGAGATGGACGGACTCTCTAAAGAATCCCATAGGCTTCAGTTCACAGAAGCTGAGCAGGGCAGTTGAGGACTGGAAATGATGTGAATTTGCTAAGAGCTCTTAAAGTTTTATGTCATCAAGTATCTGGGAGCGCCTCTGGACCCTACAGATATCCTGTCATGCTACCCTGTTCCCATAAAAATTGTAGCATCCAGGGAAATAATGTCTTTCACGGTCTGTCCCACTAAAGAATTTTGGAAACCTCTAACTCAGCATACATATAATTCCCAGGGCAGCTCTACATTTGGTGGGAATAGCAGGCATGGGGCCAGATTTATCTACAGGATGTGCCTTTTCCTTTTGATAAATATCAAAGACAGCTTGGGGGGGGGCAGCATCCTGGTCCAACAATCGCCTCTTACATGAACTCATTGTGCATAACTACTGTTGATCTTCTTAACCTTTAATCATGTTGCTGTTTAGCATCAAAATTGCTTAATACAAAGCAGGGGTCATAAATCATTATGAGGTGTGAATATTTTGTCATGTGATCTTTGTATTTTACTCATATGTCAAAAGAACTGGACAATGTTCCCCGAAAGATTACATTAAAATACAGCAATCAATCTTTAAAGTGCCACAACGTCTCTTTTTGCTTTGCTTTGCTTGTTGAAATACTTAATAAAGGAGGACAGACTTATTTCAGCAACCAAATTCTAGTTAAGAAGAAATGCAGGACCACTAGTAAAACTTCCTCTCTATAAGTTATCTTACGGATCTCATGGTTTTCTTATGTTCCTGTACCAAGGGCTCCAGCAACATGTCACACAGAAGGTTAACATGATGAGGAGTGTACAGTACGAAACAAATTATTTGTTGGCATTGCTTTTTACACAAACATCACAGCATCATTCGTAGGCCTCCTTTGAAAGTGACTGCTCACTTGCCTCCTGTACTTTTTTTTCAAATTAATGCCGATATTTCAACACAAGGGGCACGTTGTTTAGAGATTACCTAAGGGTCAAACAATATCACTGTTTTGGAATGGAGACGCCACAATATTAAAAGCAGAAACACAAGCCACTGTATAGAGGGTGGATTTCCTGTAGAGGAAGGAGTGAGGTCTACAGAAGGAGTGGCTCGTTGGTCTAGGGGTATGATTCTCGCTTAGGGTGCGAGAGGTCCCGGGTTCAAATCCCGGACGAGCCCAGTTTTTTGTTTTTAAGTACAACAAACCAGGATGATAAAAACAAATTAATTTGACCAAGGCTGCCTTTTAATGAAAGTTTTTATAGGAATGAATTATATGAACTGCCATAGCATTTCGTTGTGCAGGATTACGCACTATGAAAATACAATTCTTTTTCCTTTTCTCCCATTGCATAACTTCAAGGATACTTTTTTAAAAAAACACCTTATCTGCACTGCTCCTTTCCTGCATAATAAAACCTCTAGAAATTCGAGACAAAAGAGGCGCTCCTGCTAGGGAGTCCAGAATGGAAGAAATTTAAGTAAATACAGTCGATCTGCATCATGCAAAACTGCTCAATGTGCGAACAAGCATCGCGATGAGAGACTGGCTCATTTGCTCTCGAACTACGTGCAATTCCTAATGACCTTGCTTTTTCCTTGCATGAAACTTCATGTCTTCCTCTAATCTAGATCAGATAAAATGTTTAATTGCAAACAAGTTCACCTTTCTGGCCAGGTACTGTATTCTGTAGTGTCTTCAATACTACCCACATTACTGAAGACAGATTGTTTCGGTCGCGTACCAATCAGCTTCCTATCTCGAACTCATGCTTCTCACTTTAACTCACTTAAAGCACATGGAGAACAAATTACAAAATTAACAAGCCACAAATGCCTCCCAAAATAGGAAGGAAATACAACACTCCTTCCCTCTCAGGGCTCGTCCGGGATTTGAACCCGGGACCTCTCGCACCCGAAGCGAGAATCATACCCCTAGACCAACGAGCCGCTGTCAACCATGTTTTCCTCAGCTCACTTCTTCACTATTATCCGGCCCTAAAGGTACGGCCTCCTCAACTGATTTTCACTTCCTCACAAGGACACGCACCCCTGGGGTTTAAAAGAATTGTTCCGCCCAAGGTCCTTGAAATACCGTTAAATTCCTATTCTATCGGATCAAACAGTCTGATGATATTGTCTGTCCGCCTCCGTTCTTCTCTTCAAAACTGGTGGGGCGGGAGGGGGGAGATACCACTCTGCGCCAATTAAGGGGGGGGAATCTCTTTTCTTATCTTTGCCCTAGCTGAGGAAACAGAGACTACAGCGTTCTGTCTAGCCAGGCGGACAGAACAATCCGCTCCTTTCTGTTTGGCTGGAAACCCGCAGGGTTTCTTCCTCTTCATACAATTACTACAAACTTAGAGGTCCGAGGGTTTAGAGGACCCTCCCCGCAAACGGGGTAAATTCCCGGATGAGGAAACCCTATTGGGAATGTGAGGTTGGCAGCTGCCCCTCCCCCCCATGGTATTAATTAGCTCCATGATTGGCAGAAGTCGGTAAAACAACCAAAGTTTTTCCTGAAGGGGCGGAGAGTTACGAATTTCCACGTGGGCAAATCATTCCTGTCCGTTGAACAATTTTTTTTGCAGACATGTAGGCTCATCGAGTACAGAGAACTAAGTGAATATTTTAAACAAATACAACGAGGCGCTTTGCCTCGACAGAGGTGTGGCCCCAGGGTTAATGCATGCAGAATACGCCCTATCAGTGGCTCTTCTCTTCTTCAGGCACCTTGCAATCTGCCACACTAAATAGGTATACCGGTATCTTCTGTAAATGACCCTGATGGGGAGAAATTAAAAGACGGATCCATGAAATGACAAACAGGTACTCCTGAATTCGTATGAATTTTCCTGGGGATAGTCCCCAAACTGTGGGCACATCATAGACAGATCTTAGATCCCATCTGGGCCAAGAGCCCAAACCATAAAAATCCTTGGGTTCTCAATGCAATGTCACAGAAGATCCCCATCAGAATGTAGATCCCATCAATGCCCACAAAATAAACAAAATAAACAAAAATCAAGGATCTGAGGTGGCCCAGGCACTTCACACATGAGAACACTTTTTAAAAAAATATGCTTTGTTCCCCCTCCCTTACTGCTATGCCTATATATGCTGTTTTTGCCTTTATGATTATTTACTATATCTTTGTTGACTGAATTTTCAAAGGGAATACCATAGTTCTTGTTTGGGATACTCAGTCTGGTGCCCTGTATAGACTAGGATTCAACTCAGGAGACTCAGATTTTATGCCCTGGCTCTGCAATGGAAACTCACCTCTGTGTGTGTGTGTGTGTGCGTGTGCGTGTGCGTGCGTGCGTGCGTGCGTGTGTGTGTGTAACTAGTAACAACCATCAGATCCTTGAAAACCACACAATTCTTGTTTAACCAGCTGGAAAACATTT